TCATTTTAATGATATTAATAATATAGTTATTATTAATTATATAATCATGTTTACGTAATTATAATACAGAGTGCAGTATATTTGTACATGGTCATAGCATATGATAGATTTTGTTCCCCAGTAATTTCCCATTCTCTTCCCTTTTCCTCTCCTCTCAATCCCCTTTTCTCTACTCTGTTGGTCTCCCTCCTGTTTTTGTGAGACTCCTGCCTTTTGAAAATCTCCCTCACCCCAGTTTCTGTATATGAGACAAAAATTGAACCCTTGCTGTTCTGTGTCAAGCTTATTTCGCTTAGCATGATATTCTCTGGTTCCAGCCATTTACCAGCAAGTGCCTTAATTTTGTTCTTCTATGGCTCAGTAAAACTCCATTGTGTATATAGACCATAGTTTCTAGCAGCGTCTTTTTTCAGGTTCAGAATAAACAGTCCAGCACCCCATCCAGCACTTCGTCATGTCTTCTTGTTCTCGTCTAATCTGGATGAGTCTTTCTCCATTTTTTATAACCATCATAATATTGAAGAGTACTGGCCAACAGTTTTGTAGAATGTCTTCCTCTTTGGGTTTGTCTGATGTTTTATGGTAAGAATTGGCTTATGCTTTGGGGCAGGAATACCCCTGAACAAACATCACCTCCAAACACAATGATGTTGTGATGTTGTGCTTCTTAACATACGTTAGTGGGTATGTGACATCTATGTCTCATAGTTGATCTAACTTTTGATCACTTAGTTAAGGTGGTGTCTCCCAATTCTTTTTCACTTTAAAGTTATTATTTTCCCATTTGGAATTAGTAAGTATCTTGAGGGGAGATACTTTAAGATTTTGCAAATACCTTATTTCTCATAATACTTTTCCCCAAAATTTTAGGTTATTTGAATGATTCTTTTTTTTAAAAATATTTTTTAGTTGTTGATGGACCTTTATTTTGTTTATTTGTATGTGGTGCTGAGAATCGAACTCAGTGCCTCACACATGCTAGGCAAGTGCTTTACCACTGAGCCACAACCTCAGCCCCTGAATGATTCTTTTCTACACTAGTTATTACTTGATGTTTGTCCAAATGCTGATTTAATTTATTTCTATCATTTCTTTCATATTATTAGAATCTACTGTAAGAAATAACTATTGATATAATAACCATTTATTCAGTTATTATATCAATATGTGCTCATGCATTTTTAGTTTTTTCAGTGGATTATAATGCATTATTATAATTATTTTATTGTTCAAATCATTCCAAATCCATATATATATATATATATATATATATATATGGATTTGGAATGATTTGAACAATAAAATAATTATATATATATAATTATATGTATATATATATTATATATATATTTAGTTTTTATTCTAATTTGTTGTATATGACAGTAGAATGCATTACAATTCATATTACACATATAGAGCACAATTTTTCATATTTCTGGTTATATACAAGGTATATTCACACCATTCATGTCTTCATATATATACTTAGGGTAATGATGTCCATCTCATTCCAACATATTTTTTTACCCCCATGCTCCCTCTCTTCCCCTCCCACCCCTTTGCCCTATCTAGAGTTCGTCTAATCCTTCCATGTTCCCTCTCCCAACCCTATTATGAATCAGCCTCCTTGTATCAGAGAAAACCTTTGTTTTGGGGGGATTGGCAAACTTCATGTAGCATTATATTCTCCAGCTCCATCCATTTACCTGCAAATGCCATGATTTTATTCTCTTTTATTGCTGAGTAAAATAGTCCACTGTGTATATATACCACATTTTTTTTTTATCCATTCATCTACTGAAGAGCATCTAGTTTGGTTCCACAGTTTAGCTGTTGTGAATTGTGCTGCTATAAACATTGATATGGTTGTGTCCCTGTAGTATGCTGTTTTTAAGTCCTTTGGGTATAGACCAAGGAGTGGGATAGCTGGGTCAAATAGTGGTTTCATTTTTAGTTTTCCAAGAATTCTCCATATTGCTTTCCATATTGGCTGCACCAATTTGCAGTCCCACCACCAATGTTTGAGTGTGTCCTTTCCCCCACATCCTTGCCAACATTTATTGTTGTTTGTATTCTTAATGGCTGCCATTCTGACTGAAGTGAGATAAAATCTTAGATAGTTTTGGTTTGCATTTCCCTAATTGCTAGAGATATTGAACATTTTTTTCATATATTTGTTGATTGATTGTATATCATCTTCTGAGAGGTGCCTGTTCAGTTCCTTGGCCCATTTATTGATTGGGCTATTTGTCTTTTTGGTGGTTAGCTTTTTTAGTTCTTTGTATACCCTACCGATTAGTGCTGTATTTGATGTGGGAGTGGCAAAAATTTGCTCCCAAGATGTAGGCTCTCAACCCAGTGTGAGACCACATCTCAAGATGTGGTCCTGGGGATTGAACTCAGGGCCTTGCACATGCTAGGCAAGAACTCCATCATTGAGCTATACTCCAGTTCTTTTATATTTTTTGAGAGAGGGTCTTAACTAAGTTGCCCAGACTGGCCATGAACTTGTGATCTTCCTGACCTTCTTCCTGAGTTGTGGGAATTCCAGGTGTGTGATGCCATGCCAGTCTCCTCATTGTTTTTATTTTTGTTTTTAAAAAAATTTTTTTTAGTTGTAGATGGACACAAAACCTTTATTTTATTTATTTGTTTTTATGTGGTGCTGAAGATCGAACCCAGAGCATTGCACATGATAGACAAGCCACAACCCCAGCCCCTCCCCATTGTTTTTTTTTAAATATATATATTTTAAATTATATGTAGACACAATATCTTTATTTTCTGTGATGCCGAGGATCGAACCCAGTGCCCCAAGCATGCTAGGTGAGTGTTCTACCTCTGAGCCACAACCCCAGCCCTCCCCATTGTTTTTTAAAAAGTATTTTATTACTCTTGGCTATCACAGACATACCAAGCTCATTGTACTCCAACCCTAGGACCAATTTTTCCAAAGAGTCTTTCTCTTTTTATTGGAGATTGATATTGAGGAACAAAATCTGGGTGCTGGGTGTGCTTATTTCTACTGGCATGCCATTGCTTCTGGGCCCCACAGCTGACAGAGCTGGGAAGTGTGTGTGTGTGAATATGCACACCTTTGAGAAGCCTTTCTCTCTCCCTATCTATGAATATTTATTTACCTATTAAATCATGTTTATCCTGATAACTTCCTCCACCACTGGTTTTATTCTCAATTTCTCCCTTCTTTATTTGCGGCTCCTTTCTCCAACAATGAGAAACATTGCTTTCATAATCTCTATGAGAAACAACTTCACCAGCTAGATTATATGGTGTTTTGAGGAAGTCCATGTTGTCTTTTTTTTAATTTAAATTTTAAAATATATTTGTTTATTTATTTATTTTTTTGGTACCAGGGATTGAACCCAGGGGTACTTTACCACTGAGCCACATGCCACAACCCCAACCCTTTTCATATTTTATTTAGACACAGGGTCTCACCGAGTTGCTTAGGGTCTTGCAAAATTGCTGAGGCTAGCTTTGAACTCACAAACCTCCTACCTCAGTCTCTTGAGCTACGGGGATTACAGGTGTGCACCACTGCCCTCAGTGTCCATGTTGTCTTTAACCTCATAGTATGTAGTAAAAATATTTTCTAAAATGCTAAGCTTTGATTTTTATTCCATATACCTTCTGGTGTGACTTTGTTATTCAGTTATAATACAGTTGGGTTTGTCCTTATACTATTTGTGTTCTATTTTGGGTTTCCACAGCACATAGAGGTTGATTTCTAATGTATATTTGTGAGGCATGTGAAGCATTACTGTCATTCTAGGAGTCAGACTATTTGAGAAGGCATAACCAGAGAATCCATTGCACCCCTTCTTCCCTGCAGTACATTTCATTCCCCCAGTCTTTTCACCCCATTCCCACTATCCCCTGGAGACAACCAACTTGTTTAGTTTCTAGTTTATTCTCCTAGATTTCTTTCTGCACAAATAAATAGATACATGTTTTCTTACAGAGATTACATTTCAATGTCTTTGTGGTACTGGGCCATTTGAATGTTGTTTGATGATTTTCTCTTTGAAGGGCACTTGTTCATAATTGGTCTGACATTAGGCTAATGTATTAGAAAGCTAGTGAAGCTATTATTTTCTTTCTGGGAAATATTTGTGGGATTTTTTTGAGGGGGGTTACTGGGGTCTGAACCTAGAAGCTTAACCACTGAGCCACATCCCCAGCCCCCCTTTTTTATAATATTTATTTTTGAGTTGGACACAATAGTTTTATTTTTTGTTTATTTTTATGTGGTGCTGAGGATTGAACCCAGGGCCTCAAACGTGCTAGGCAAGCACTCCACCTCTGAGCCACAACCCCAGTCCCCTTTTTGTTTTTTACTTCTTTGAGACAGGATCTCGCTAAATTTCTTAGGGTCTTGCTAAATTATTGAGGCTGGCTTTGGACTTGTGATCCTCTTGCCTAAGCCTCCCGGAGCTGCTGGGGTTACAGGTGTGCACCACTGTGCCTAGCTGTGGGATATTTTTCTGGAACAAAGGTGACAACACGAATGTTAATGGACTGATTAACACTGAAGTGTTTTTCAATAGAATCTGTCTGAACAAAAATAACATAAAACAGCCAGTAATGTTTTTCAATTTTTCTTTAACACATAGCTATTTTTGCAAGATGTTTAATTTTTTTTCTTTTCTCCTCAAAATTGGATTTTGAAGGGACTGAAGCTTTAGCTCCATGGTAAAGCATGTGCTTAACATTCAGGAAGCTTTGGGTTTATCTCCAGCACCCTTTTTCCTCAAAAGGATTTGAATTATTCAAAAAGGATTTCAGGCACCAATTAGAGCTATTAGATTGCTACCTATGTCTTTTATTAGTTATTATTATTTTTCTTCTGGAGGTCTTTCAGCCTAGCTTTTTTTTTTTTTTTTAAATACACAAAGCCAAACAAAGCATTTTCCATGTCTGCTTAAGAGTGCTGTGGTATATTTCATTATGCACTTTTTTTCTTTCCAAATACTCTACAGGCATTTGGGCAGTCCTTCTCCATCCATCGTAAAGTCGCTGAGGATGGAGAGACTCGGGAGGAAACGCTTCTGCAGGAGTCTGCATCGAAGGAAGCTTACTATCTGGGCAAGATCTTGGAGATGCAGAATGAACTGAAACAGAGCCGGGCTGTGGTCACTAATGTCCAAGCAGAAAATGAGAGGCTCACGGCCGTTGTGCAGGATCTGAAGGAGGTAAACAAGTAAACCCTGCAATACTTGTGTGGGAGAGAGAAACAATACAAAATGCTCTCTGCCTGAGAGATGAATAAAACCTTTGCTTCCATCCAAGGAGCTGTGTTAAGCAAGAAGCGCATAATACTGATGCTAGCAGTTTTCCTGCCTTTTTTAGCAAAATGGCAGCTTGCTCTGAGACGAGATTTCCTCGTTTTTATTGTTTTTTAAGAATTAAAAATTTTATGGGTTAGGAATGGCCTTAACAGTTTTGCCAAGGTGTGTTTAAAAAATATAGTGACCTTAGCACTTCCTCCCTTCATTGCCTGTTTTAATACAATGTGGAGAAGAATGGTGGGTTGTAATCCTCTGCAGCAGTGTGAACTGAAAATGACAGCAGTGTTAACCCAAGATGCTCCTCACTGGGGAATGAGATCCCAGGGGAGTATTCTGAGGGCCATGGAGTCTCGTAATACAGAACCCCAATCCATTTTACTGGTTGTAAGGAAGGTAGCAAATGATAGCCAGTATGAATTAGATTGGGGGATCTCCATCAGACCCTGAGCCTCCACCAAACTACCCTCATCATCCTTTGCAAGGCAACATCACACACCATATCCTTTTGAGACTTCTAGGGTCATTCTTTAGTGCTGGATAGCATGGGGACAGAAATAACCAAATGCAGCTTTATCCATTAAACCCCGTAAGGCCATTTTGGGAAACTTCATATTCTATCACTCCATTTTCATCAATTTAGGTTACTTTTTATTAACATGTATTAATTGTACATATTAATGGGGCTCAGTGTGATATTTCAACACATGCAGACAGCATGCACATCTGGAATCAGTAGAAGAGGTGCAGATGTCTTTTAGAACCCCACACCCATGCAGCAATTATTGACGTGCAGCTGCTAGGTCCACAACCAACTGGGTTCCTTAATTGAACATCTTTGTAATAGAATATGCATTTCTAACAAGTTCCCAGGTGATGCTGTGGAAGCATTTTAAGATCCACTGATTCAGACTTTTTGGTCTGCCCAAAGCTGAAGAAGGGAGGACCAGAAGGATCACAATTTGGATAATTGCTGAGCACCATGATCTCCTGAATGAATTCCTTGACAACACTTAGGTTTCTGTGCATTTGGGGGAATTGGTGTGCAGTAAGAGAATAGCTTGGTACATACATTTTTTTTTTAATCTAAAGCAGCTCAAGGCAATTTAGGCTATGAATATATTCATTCAGATTTGTCAGGTAATTGAAAGAAAAAAATAAAAAACTTGTTAGTTTCCTGGTTTCCTAAGTGTTTGTTGATGTTCTGACAGGCTGAAATCTAGTGGCATTACTGTATCTCTAGGGCCTACTGTTGTTTTGATGCCCTTAACAACATTATTATTAGCATTTAGAGCAGAACATGTATTATAAAAGGAGAATAGAAATAAATTATATGTATTTTTAGTTAACTCATAACATACCTTTTGGGGGCATACTGGGGATTGAACTCAGGGCTCTCAACCACTGAACCCCATCTCCAGCCCTATTTTGTATTTTATTTAGAGACAGAGTCTCACTGAGTTGCTTAGCACCTCGCCTTTGCTGAGGCTGGCTTTGAACTTGCAATTGGCTGCCTCACTCAGCCTCCCACGCAGCTGAGATTATAAGTGTGCATAACATACTTTTGATGGTTGATATTAAATTGAAATCTCAGACTTGTTTTTGTTGTAGGATCAACTTAATTTATTTTTTGTACTCACTGATACATAGTGATTGGAAGAGACATCAATAAGTTAGAAAAATTATGCATGATAGACTGTGAGAAATATGTAAGGACAACCAAAGCTTAGTAAATCATCAGCTTGACAGATGTTGTGTGAATTTAATAATTAATGAAAGCATGTGTATTTACTTAAAGGGCTCATCTCTTTCTTTCAGTAGGATCATTGGTATTGGCAAAGGTGAGTTTCTGAAGTTGTGTGCAGTATGTTAGCGTTACACATATATGCATGTGTGTATGTGTATGTAATTCCCAGGTCAATTTGTCTTGCATATATAGTAGTTATAGGAAAGTATAGAGGTCAAATGGAAAAACTGCCTAATTAAGTATTAGGAAATCAGTTTTCTCAGTTCTGCTAAAAGTTTTATATTCCTGATATTGGTAAAATTTGTTTTAAGGTTATATTGGCATAGAGTAAGTCCATAATAAGCATATGCTATTATCATTAATAATTTTCTACACCCCTATAAAAGTCCATGAAGATATCACTCATTATGTAGATCTGTGTTCTTAGGTTAAAGAAATACTAGATAAATGTCTCTGAATTTACCACCATGGAAATCCTTTCTATTGTGGTTCAGGTTGGGCAGTAGGATTACAATATGCTTTTCTTTCTGCCTTGGCCTCAGGACTATGTTTAACTGTTAAAAACTAACTTAGATTTTCATATAATTCCTCTCAATTTTTAAGACATTTGACATTTTGTCAGCCTTACTATAAGCATGTCTTTAATGGTAGACAATATTTAAAATTATAGGTAAATAATATTTAAAATTATAGGTAGTATAAATAAAAAAATATCCAAATCAAAGAATCAAATTAGAAGTTAATCTTAAACAAGTTAGAAGTTAATTTTATAAAATCAGTAATAGACAGTGGGGGGAAAATCCCTGTGTTCTCTTCAGTAGCAACACTTAGGTGAAAACATAAAGCGATAGATTACTCTAGTTCCTAAACAGAGGTTACTGAAACAGGTTTGGATTTCATTTTTCTACCTTCAGTGTATTAGATCTAAGAGAGATAACCGAAGTAGGTTTATTTGGACAGTGTTAATTAAACAATTTCTTTGTACCAAATTTAACTAAAATCCACACTGATGAAACCATATAGTAGGATAATTAAACCTTTAATATTACCTACTGCTTGCTTAGTAAGGTTTGTCAGAATTTACTGTAATATTTACAAAGCAAACAAAGCATTTGGATCAGTATTTCTAAACAGAATTGGTGTGTCACATAGATAGACCTCTTAGGTGGAATGCAGCAGATTGGAGTTAAACAATGAATAATTGGTCCAGGGGTATAACTCAGGGGTGGAGTGCTTGCCTAGCATGTGTGAGGTCCTCTGTTCAGCCCTGGCAGAGCAAAAACCAACCAACAAACAGATAAACAAAAAACTTATTAAGTCAAAAGTAAGATTCAGCCTGTACTTTAAAGTAACTTTGTTGAGCACTGGACACTGTTCTGAATTCTATACTTATGTTTGAGCATATTATCCCATTTTACTAAAATGGGAAATGGGACATGTGAATTCAAGAGACATTTAGATATGTGTCCAATGTACTTGCACTAAGTGACAAGCCAGAATCAAAAAAAAACTGGCTCTGATCTATACGCTCTTAGCCTTGTCATGGTAGCTGCCAAAAGCACGTCAGCCTCTTCTGAATCTTGGCTCCAACTAATTAAATTCTTGAAGAATGTATCGAGAATTAGCACAATAGCTTCTGTGGTCTTACTGTGTCTCCTTCAGATTCATGTGTTGAAACTTCATCAGTGATGCGGTAGTACTAAGAGGTGATGAAATCATGAGAAGAGTGCACTCATAATGGGATTAGCACTTATAAAAGAGGTGGGGAACTAGGTAGGCTCTTTGGCCCTTCTGCCATGTGAGGACACAGCATTCCTCCCTTCCAGAGGATGCAGCAATAAAGCACCATCTTGGGAGTCAAGACTGGGTCCTCCCGAGACACCACAGCTTCTGGTGCTTTGACCTCAGATGTCTGGCCTCAGGTACTGTGAGAAATGAGTTTCTGTTCTTTAGAAATTACCCAGCCTTAGGTATTTTGTTTTAGCAGCAAGAATAGACCAAGACAAGAGCTAATTTTTTTTTTTTTTTTTTTTTGCAGTACTGGGCTAAGAACTTAGGTCTTCTTGCATATTAGACAAATGCTCTACACTGAGCTATATTTCTTAGCCCTTTATTTCATTTCATTTTTTGAGGTAAAGTCTAAGTCACCCACATTGGCCTTGAATTTGTAATCCTTCTGCTTCATGCTCCCAAGTAGCTAGAATTATAGGCATATACTACATGCTTGGCTTGACAATAATTTAATTTGTAATCCCATTTTAGTGGGATATGACTTTTATATTTTAAAAGATGCTTACTCCATATGATTTTTTAAAGTTTTTTTTTAAACAGATGCAACATTTTTTATACCTTTATTTTATTGACCCTTTTTATGTGGTGCTGAGGATCAAACCCAGTGCCTCACACATGCTAGGCAAATGATACCACAACCCCAGCCCCTTACTCCATATGATTTTAAAAAAATTTTTTTTTAGTTGTAGTTGGACATAATACCTTTATTTTATTTATTCATTTTTATGTGGTGCTGAGGATTGAACCTAGTGCCTCATATGTGTTAGGTGAGTACTCTACCATTGAGCCACAACCCCAGCCCCAGTCCATATGATTTTTACCACATTTGAAAGTCCAATTTTTCTCTCAGTGGAGTAAAAAAATCAAATTTCATAATATGCCAGTGACCCAATTTCCAGAAATTCATTATATGAACATTTTGAAAGTATATCTCTTCTACCACAAGGAACTCATATTCATAAAATCCTAGGGTGGGAAGGAACTGCAGTGGTTATTTAGTAAATACTTCTCCCAGAACAATAATATTTCTTTAACATCCCTAAATGGCCATGTATTTGTTATTCGGACTCTTCCATAATTATGGCAAAGAGAAACTGTGAGCCCCTTTCAAAGAAGGGACTATATTTTGTCTATCATTTACCTTGGTATCCCCAACATCAAGGCTAACCAAAATCAGATATTAGAGATTAAAATTTAAAAATAATTTTTATTGAATCAAATTGAATTAAACAAAACTGAAAGAACATGTTTTAGAAGTTAGCCATCCCTGTGTGAATTTTAGCTGTACCAGTGGCCAAGTATGTGATATTGGGCAAGTTACATTTGTTCTCTGTGTTAGTCAGCATTCTATTACTGTGACAAATACCTG